ATGATTTCTGTGCCTATGTTTTTAAAAGCCACACCTGCCTGACCAGAAGGGGTTAAAATAAAATTTAAACACCACACCAGACAAGCACCCACTTGCAGACAAAGGGGGAAGAAACTGAGTCAGGGACCTAATAGTGGACAATTTTGAAAATTACAGGGTATGTCAATAATGGAGATAACAGGGGGATTCAAAAAGGAAATAATCTCCACAAGGGGGTGGGGGGAGAATAGAGAAAGAAGCAAAAAGGAGCAACTGCCTGCAACAAAGCCATTAGATTCAGGGCTTTTATCTTTGCCAATGTTAAGTCTGCAGACAGTTGCAGACTTAAAGACGCTACAGATAGAGAGCAATGAAAATCTGAAGGTGAAGCAATCCTTTTGTTTGCCTTGGAGCCCAGAAGGAGATTTCTCCACTAGCATTAAAACACACTGTCTGGTTCTCAGGTGACTGTTTTAGCTACTTCTACTTTTAGCTGCACCAGAAGGGTGTCCATTAAATTTTGTTGGCATAAACGGCTTGAGAAAAGGGACACAAGCCACAGAACCCTGCCAACCATCCTCTCCCTCAAACACCCCAACACCTCACTACCTGCTGCCTATTTCCTTGTGCTCTTCAGGTGTTGAGCCAATCACTATCCTGCTAGTGGCCCCCTGATATCCTTGTAAGCATCCAACATATAAAAACACAGAATGCATTTCAAGTGAAGGCAAAAGTTCCTCCTCAAGCAAAATGCCACCAACCCAAAAGCAGCACTTTGCTTCAGTGATATAGCTGTGGGAACCTACAGTGAACCCAGGCTGCTTTCTCAATAGCTGAGCATGACTAGAATAGGGGACAAAGTATTGCTCTGAAACATTAGGGCAACGTTGGGTGCCAGTGTTCAGGAGTAGGGTGAAGGAGGTTATTCATTGAAAGCAAAATGGAAGATAAGTCTGAGAAGACCAGTCATCTCCAAACCTGCTCTGAGCTTTTACAGTTAGAAGTTCTGAAGGCTGAAAGTCCAGATTAAATTCTCTAAAGCTCCTTCACAAACACAGAACAGTGCAAGAACCACATAACATGATCCTCTGCTGTTGCAAGAGAGGATGTTTGTGTATATCACAGCCATATGGATGGGGCCACCTGCATGGAACTTTCCCTAATCTAACCCTTGCGAAAAGGGAGCTGGCAGGTGGGAAAGATCAAAGAGACCGGACCCAGCTCTGTGACTGCAATATTTACGTGGAAACATGGAATCATACCTCAGGGAACTGCTCCCATTTTACTGTGTTCGCTTCCTCCCTCCCCCGCCCCACACGTAATGGAGGGACAGCGTATAACGAAACCAAAAACGGGCAAAACTAATTTTAAAAGCGTCCCAAGTTCAGTGCTGCTGACATAACACAAAAGAGAATAAAGAACACACACTGGGGATTTTTAGCTCTTGTTGCGAAGGGCAAAGGAAATAAAACAAGAAGAGTTTAAGAAAGTAAACAATGCATGACGTGAGGTTCCTGAATGGCGGCATGCTCAGCTTTGCAGCTCTCTAGCTGTACTAGGATGGCAGAAGCTCCAGATCGCCACTACCACAAGCACTGTCCTAAGCCTGCCGCTGTCTTCACTATGCTGCAAAAACTTCTCCCCACATTGCATATTTCAGTCTTCCTGCCCTGTCTCCAACCCACTGACAGGAAACCGAAACACAGCATACAGCAACTTGGCTCGTAATAGGTATCTATTAATTGCAATGCTCTGTGACTATGTGTTTCTTAAATGCATGAAATAGCGGATAGTTTTCTTCCCCACCCCAACCAAGGAGATGTCCAATTTTAACAAGGCTACTATGTTCCTTGTGATAAATTTAAATTCTACACCATTAAGACTCCTATACAGTGGTACCTCGGGTTACAAACTTAATTAGTTCTGGAGGTCTGTTCTTAACCTGAAACTGTTCTTAACCTGAGGTGTGCTTTCGCTAATGTGGCCTCCCGCTGCCGCCTCCCGTTCTCAAACTGGGGCAAAGTTCACAACCCAAGGTAACTACTTCCAGGTTAGCGGAGTTTGTAACCCAAAGCGTTTGTAACCGAAGGTACCACTGTAAGTCCTTTGGGGCGATAAAGATACTGACAAAGGGCATTATTTAGGCATACCTGCAAAAAGCTAAAATTGTGACTATTCCCCCCAGTAGCTTTTAGGAATACATTGTGAAGTCGAAATCTCAGAAGTATCCTGTGCTAGTTATCACAGTTTAGCACTCTTATGCTGCTAAAGTATCTTGGGAACTGTAGTATTTTAAGGAGGCTGAAAGTTGTTCAGAGGCCCCTTGGCAGAGGTACAATTGCATAGGAACCATGACTGCTAAGGTGGCGCAAGAGCGCTTTAAATATATGGTGTGGCATGGATTTGACTTCTGTAAACATTAATATCAGTTCTTTGCAACTTGGGTACTTCCTCCTTTCCTGTGATGTTCCCTTTTTTTGATGAGCAACAGCGTTACAGTACCCCTTCTCTCAATCCGTGGCCTGTAGCACCTATTCATTTATTACAGTTATCAGTACCCATTCAGCATACAAGGTTGCTCATTAGCAAGAAAGATTCATTAATCACACTAGCAATATTTTCCAAAAAAAATCTAACAATTCATCAGGGTTCTTCCTACAGAGCAGAAGAGCTTTAGGTGGGGAACACATACAGAGAGAGAGAGAGAGAGAGAGAGAGAGAGAGAGAGAGAGAGAAAGAGAGAGAGATACAGTCCAGCTGATATCTTCCTCATCTGCCTACCTCTTTCCCAAGTCCTCTTTGGGCATTCAAACAATGCATAAGGGTGAAAACTGTGTAGGGGGCACACAGAGGTGTGACCTGGGGGCCGAGCCTAAAAAGTCAGATAGAGAGGCCTGAAGTTCTCCATGCTTGGGTTCCCATGGAGATTCTGGCTGCATTCAACTGAGCATGCCCAGAAGCCTCTCTTTGTACAGGGGTTCCAATCACAGGATAGAGTGTATCCAAATTCAACTGAAAATTGTTTAGAGCCCCCTCTGCACTGAACACATGAAGGATCTCTCTCTCTCTCTCTCTCTCTCTCTCTCTCTCTCTCTCTCACACACACACACACACACACACACTTCTCCACTTTAAGCCCACCCCTGTACACCTGAATGCATAAAAAGGGCTCTTGAATCCTTCCCACTGTGGTAGATTGCCCTTTGCAGGCGAGAAAATAAAGCCCAGCTTCTCCCATTTGATTTTGTGCCTATGCATCTGTTGCTCCCTCCCCTCTGTTTTCTTTCAGAACTTGACCTCCTTTGCATTCCCACAGACCTATCAGAACTCCCCCTAGTGTTTCCCCCCCTTCTAAAATCGCCTCCCCCTCACAAAACTATTGGTGCCTCAAAAGCATACAGCTGTGTGCACTTTTAGCATTATCGTTAATTGAAATTGCAAGCTCAGCTCAAGACAACAACAACGGGCCCAGCCCCCAGCCCTTTGCAGAAGGAAGTAAACATACACAGGAAACCCACAAAGAACAGGCTTGCGATGTCAGGGGACAAGGCAGGACACCAAAACAAAAACTACAAAGCGCTGCTGTGACAGAGGGACGCTGGTGCGCACACAGAACCTTTTGATTTTGTGGAAGCACGTTAACTTCTGCTGTTCCAGCCTGAGAGTTGTGGCTGTGTCTTTAGCCAGGATGCTAAGCTGGAGATGCCCCTGCTGCGGGTGGCGTGGGGGGAACCCGTTTCAGACCGAGGGTTGGGCTCCAATCTGAGCACCTTACCAGAGGGCCACATGCTGGGGGTGGAGAGGGCCTGAGGCAAAAGTGAGCAAGGCAGCAAAGGTGAATTTTACCTTTGCACAGGAAACTAATTTCTGCCCACACTCATACAGCCCCCTCTCTATTCTCCACCCAGGCAAGCAAGATACAGAGTACGAGGGCAGGCAGAAGACATTCAGAGGTTGGTGTGGAGAAGCTTTGCCCCTCCAGATGTGGCTGAACTCCCATCACCTCGGACCATCATCCAGGTTTGCTGGGGCTGGTGTAGTTGTAGTTCAGCAACATCTGCAGGGCAAAAGGGTTTTCCACACCTGTTCAAGGAGTTGATGAGGCAGAATTTGTGAAGGGTGTGGCCAACAGCCAGAGCGGTGGTTGGGTCCCATTGGAGCACCAGGCCTGAGGTCCCCTCTTCATTATCAGTGGATTCAGAAGGCGGTCTGAGTAAGTCTCCCCTTCCCATGCAAGAGGTTTTCCCTTCCACAGGACCATATCAGCGAGCCTGGGAACAGTGATTCAACCAGCCTCCCTACACCCACCCTCCCCAATCCTGAAGATACGTTTATAAATAGGAAGCCTGGGTACAATGATAGCATCCTGAAAGCAATGCCATAACCCGATCTGCGTGTGAACTAAGTCCCTGTTGTCTCAGTAGTATTTATATTACTCTAACTCCTGTTACAAAGGAGATGAGTCATAGAGTAGAGCTAGCCAAGCAACAAAACTGCATGGCTTGCTGAAAAACTTGGGCTCAAGGATAAGCGGGCTGCATCCTGAAGCACGTTACAAGAGCACCACTCCAGAGGAGCAATGGCTAGCCAGATTTAAAAGCCATTGGACAATGCCATTTCCCTGCAATAGGCAGGGATTATGACAGGCCTTAACATGTAGTGTCTGAGAAATCCGATACCCTAGCAACCTCATGTATGGACACTGACCCAATCAGATTTCAGTTTGCAAAGAGAAGAGAAACAGTATTTCTTCTGCATACAGATGAGCTGCAAAAATGGGTCACTTCTTTGCATTTCGGGGAGGGTAAGAGAGGTACTTCTTCTTTCCAGATCTTTGCATGGATTTGTGTGTGTGTCTGTGTGTGCATGCTGTTTTGTTCCGTTTTGAAAAAAGCACTCACCTGGTGCAATGTGGCATTTCCAGGCTGCCAGGGCAAACCAGAGGAAAGCTGAAGGGTTTAACATTTAGACACACTGATAAAAGTTTGCATTTTCAGGAAGACAGTTTATCAGTAACTTACCGGTTCTTTTCTAGTTCATTGTGCGTAGATCTGGAAGATAAACCAAGAAGAAAAGGGTTAGCCATTTTATAACTTCAAGAGCCAATTCCCCTAAATTGTGAGCGGTTTTTCTTCATTAGTTACAATGGATCAGAGCAGCACATTCAACCACGCACACAAAGAACTACCGTATTTTTCCATGTATAGGACTAGGTTTTTTTTACAAAAAAAATAGGTTTAAAATTGGGGCTCGTCTTATACACTGGTAGTGCTGAGGGATGTTTTCTTAATTTGGAGTCTTATAGACGGAAAAATACGGTACTTACTGACCCTACAAGTACAGGTCCTTAATTATTGTTTAAATATTTGGAGCTCTAGATCTTATTATACCAACGGTTTTCAAGGCTTGGGATTTTCATTCATTTCACTTGCTCATTGTTTCAGTGCCCTGTATGAAGCAGCGTGGCCCACATAATTTTAGAGTTATGATACAGCTTACACAGGTTAGTTACCACAAGATGAAAACAGAGATCTGGGAGAAAGCCCTGAGTACAGTCATACCTTGGGTTGCGATTGCTGTGGGTTGCGCATTTGCGGGTTACGGATGTGCCGAAACCCGGAAGTACCGGAACAGGTTACTTCTGGGTTTCAGTGCTCGCACATGCACAGAAGTGCTAAATCGCACTTTGCACATGCGCAGAAGCGCCAAATCGTGTCACGTGCGTGTGAAGACACAAAACTGTGGGTTGCAAACGTGCATGGATCACGTTCGCAACCTAAGGTTCCACTGTACTCATGAGGCTCCTCAGATCATATTTCAGCTCCCATTGATCATCTGTTCACTTCTTCCCGTAAACAAATCAGAAGTTGAAACAGTGGAAGAGGTTTCAAACTCAGGATAAGTCATCCTGAACAAGCCAATTTACGGAAGTTTTAATTATTTTGAGCAATTTTGCAAGTTTCCAAGGCCCTTCGTATTAATGAGACTGCAAACTTTGTTTTTTATTGGCCTACATCATGGATAGCATAACGGAAGCAGGAGACAATAAATGTTTGGATCCCATCAAACTCTATATTATTTAAAGTGCTAACCGTAACCAACAAGATCCTATGACTTAAAAAAAATTGACATAAAAGAATTTGAGAGCAGCATGTATATTTTATGATAGACTAACTTAAAATAAGAGGTGAGTGGCTTAGAAAAAGAATAGAAAGAAATATCCATTTGTTTGCAAATTGACATCACACTTGGTTGAAGGCCAACTATTTCCTTTTAATATATTAAAAATATTTATAACTCACCCTTCATCTACAGATACTTGGCCAGGGTGCAAAACTTTAAAAACCACCATACAACCAGCACTGAAACCCTCAAAACAAATGGAGGGAGATAAATATAACAAAGCAGGCTAATAAGCAACTAAACCATAATATGCCTGGGCAAATAACAGGTTTTGACCTGGTGAAAAAATATTGTCAGAGCCAATCTCACTTCTGAGGGGAGGATATTCCACAAACAGGGTGCCACCACAGAGAAGGCTCTCTTCTGCATCACCACATACCACATCTCCCCCAGTGATAGGACATGCTAAAGACACTCCTTCGATCTTAAGAAAGGGGCAGGCTGATATAGGGAGAGGCACTCCTGTAAACTATCAACATCTAAAAAAGATCCTTGCAGAGAATCCTAATGACAATAGGATTGACTTCAAAACTACAGTAGTTCCAAACTCAATGGCGATTCCTCTATTAAATCAGAAGCTTCTTAAGAAATAAGGGTAGGGGAACAGGTGAACAGGGCCAACTTTTGCTGGGCAAGTAGAATACACAAAGATTAATCTGAATTACTCACACCTCCAACCTGGAACTGAATGGATGGCTACATAGAATCATAGAATAGAATCATAGAATCATAGAGTTGGAAGAGACCACAAGGGCCATCGAGTCCAACCCCCTGCCAAGCAGGAAACACCATCAGAGCACTCCTGACATGCATAAGCCACTAACTATAATATTGTCAGGAATTTTGGATCTGGTTCTAAGAAGCACAGTCTCCTATGTTCTGATGGACAGACGCCTGGCGTCTCTCCCACTGTGCAAATTATTACAAAGCCTAGAGCAGAATGCACAAGTGTAAAAAGAAAACCAGCAACATTCAATGAACTTTTTTTTAGCCTAAAGATGTATGAGCATTTGGAGTAAAATCAAATGTAAAAACAATGGGACCCTATTGTCACATACTATGTAGAAACTTAGAAATTAAAAAAATAATAATGAGAGGACAGAACTCACATCCTTCCGGCATTCTCATAAGAATTCTTCTCCACCATTTTGAGATTTTGTTGACCAAGCCATTAAATGTATGTTTGAGCTCATTGGTATAACACAGCTGCACCCCTACCCATTTCTTAGGTTGTCCCCATAATAACCAGCAGTCATTAGAATGTTATAAACATCCTTTTAATCTCTATTTTGGAACAACTAGTTTTAAATTTCACACATACACATATCATATTCTTATTCATACATGGTATTCTTTAGACTGTGCGCTGTGTTAAAATACATGCATTTCAACTATTAAATAAGAATGAAAGAGGGGTGGGAGACACTACAGTTCTGCCATGTCCCAAGAAATACAAACGAAATTCCTTTGAACTGCATTTCAAGCAGCAGCATCTAAAGGTACAGAAATAAAATCTGACACTGTTGTGAACGTACGCATTCGGAGTAATCTGTGTGTAAATTACTGTGTGTAAATCCAGTGTGTTATTAGTTTTATTTACTGTTATGTTCCTGCAGGAGATGTCTCCCTCTTCCTGGAGACTCCATTAATGGCTCCAAACCCAAAGATATGCAAGGGATTGAATTCCAACATTATAATCAAGCCAGTCATGAAGGTTGGCGCTGAAAGAACAAAGTTCGGCCCACCGCTGGGAACAAAATTAAAACAGCAGGCTCTCCCTATTTCTTCTCACACAGGAGACTCTTTATTACTTATCTTCCTTCTATCAGACACCAAAGCTGAGGAGGGTTGCCATTTTTCCATGAAACTGGAAAGTTTATTATGTGATTTATAACCATATTGGCATAAAGTAGTATGAATTTTCCCAGACAAGGAAGGGGGGGTGGAGGGGGGGGACCTCTGCCGCTTCTAAATATATCCTGTCAGACTATTACGACGAACAATCCTTAAAATAGAAAGCATTTTGAAATACATCTAGTGTTCTCCTTGGTAACTTGAGGTACAATCAGAATTCTCTCCTCAGAAATCTTTGCCATTTCTTCCATAGCTTCCTCGTGGTAAGTACACTAATAATTGCCTCTAAACTAAAAATTATAATCATTCAATGGAGTAACATCCTGACTTTCTGTTAGATCGTATACACTCATGTGTTAAGTATTGCCCACGACTGTGACTAAATTGTGCGGTTGCATAACCATCGCTCAGTTGTATGCTAGGCAGAATTTGGCTAACAGTGCACTCCTCTAAGTGTCTTTTTAGAACTAAGCCCCACTCTCTTGAAGGGGTTTACTCCCTGGTAAGTGTATGTGAACAGCAGTCTGAATCCTAGTTAGCGTTTTGTTTTTTTAAGCAGATTGTTATTCCTTATAGATGTCCACATGACCACCAGATTAATTCCATTTTTATTTTTATTTTGGTAAAGGCAGAGAAAAGAGCCTCAATACTGTATACAGCATTTACAGAATCTCTGTGAGGCTGAAGGGACGAAATGTTTGCCCAAATGACGATTTTGGTACAGGACATCACAGTTTTTCAAAGTACCAGCCTTATTACATATACACATAACGCTAGCCAGAAGTGCAGCTAAAATCTGATGAGGAAAAGGGATTAGCTGCAGAACAGCACAAACGGTTCCAATTCTTATTATTCTTGTTTACCAGATTTGACTCAATTGCACGCAGTTGTGTTTCCAGACTGGGGCCTTATATCACAAATGGGTCATTCAGATACAATCTCTCTGTGTGAGTAGTTGGCTTCCACACACCCCAGTTTTCTCAATCCTGCGTCTTCATCGTTTTTCCACCCATGTGGGTTTGTTGCCCCACTTCTACATCACAAACTGCACAAACTTTTTCTATTCAGGACACCTTTTCATAAACAATTCTCAGGAAGTGCACAAGAGCAAATGTTGCAAGCCTTAGTTATCTTGTTTCACAATAAGCAAAAACAGAGACTTGTAGTTTTTGGGTTTTTTGTGGGGGAGGGTGGACATTTCCATTTGTTTGTTTCTAATTTTTAGTACCAAGGCTTTTGCACAAGAGGGATTAATATTTTTATCTAATTTTGAAGCCTAGAAAGTGTGGGGCAAAAGGTAAATGTGGAGGAGCCCATAGTCTCAGAGGTACATAGCCCCCCCCCCTAGTAGAGATCTTGAAAAACAGCCTCTCCTAATCAGGTTGCTGAAATTCAAATGTGCCTTCAGCATGTCGCAGTTGGTGGAAATAAGCCCACTCATATCATTTGAGCTACCAGGAAGAAAATGGTTAGATTGTGCTCAACTGGGAAGCAAATGGAAGTATAGGGGTGTTGTGTTAGAAGCCACCCACCCAAATCACGCACCCCAAAATGCTAACAAGCTTCCATACCAGCTGTAATTGTAGATGTCTTAATGGGCTGCTTTTACTTATCAGATTTTCTATAGTAAGGCGAGATCCATATTATTATTATTATTATTACTTTTGAAGTATGGACCAGTATTTTAATGGCAATGATGTCATGTGGAAAAAAAGAACAAAAACCAAAACCAAGCCTTGCCTACACGAGCAGCACCAATTCCATAATAAACTCCTATCTGGAAGCACTCTTAGTCACAATTCAGCATAATGCTTAGAACCCCCTCAGTAAAGCAAGCTTTATTCCATCATTGTATATTTGCTGAATTTTGTGGCACTGCTCTACACTCTGCTGCCTCCATTTCATGAGGTTATGTGGTTTTTTGATGCTGACCCCTTACTTTAGAACACAGGTGGGCAATGTGGGCCCCACAATAATCCCCTCCCCCCAGCTGTCTGAGAACAAACTGGTACGT